TTTCGGTCAACGAAAATTACTCAAAATTTGACAGAAGGTAGATAATTAGATCTTTTACTTACATATTAAATTTCATTTATCTATCTGAAATAGTACTCAAGTTATAGGCTTTTGGAAAAATCAAAGTAGGAAAAGTACCACTTCCAGTTATCGGACATTGCTCAAAAGTCGATACGGATCTACGATTTTGATAAAATACTTATATATGAAATTTCATCAACCTAGATGTGACGGTATTCAAGTAATCGTGTTTACACACAGATAGACAGACAGACACACACGCACACACACACGCACACACAGACATACGGACAAGATTGCAAAATTATGTTTTTCCGTATCAGTGAGGTGTAGAACGTCGAGATTTGTAAAAAATCTCGATTTTTTTTTGCACGATTACAATACTTTCTCTATACTTCGTATATACGAGAAAGTAAAAATAAATCCACAGTTTAATTTAAATCATTCTTTCAATGCAAGTAAACATACAAGGGGCATAATTGTCAATGAACTTATCAAAATAGTAATACTTGAATAAGCTTGATTGAAAACATGCAATTTTAAATAATACGAATTTATATGTATGATTAAACTGTGTTTTTCAGAAAATTGTCAGAAGTATTCCCACAAGTGTTGTTTTTCTAATTTAATTTTGAATGAAAAGAAACTATGAAAACCTTTAAAATTATTGTGTTAATTTTTGTAAAAATACAAGAGCTAAGTTTATGCAACAATGCGCTTTATCAATAAATTTTTTGTATATATATTTCTATTTTACTAAAAATAAAAAAAAAATAAAAAAAAATAAAAAAAAAAAAAATTTCTATTTTACTTTAAAAGAAAATCCGATGGCGCACGACTGTTAAATATCAGTATAACAAAGGCCTAGGGAATTTATAAAGTAACAGAGCCAGAAAATGTCAGAGCCAGATAACCTTTCAAGTGATGCAGTTGAAGAAGTGGAAGAGGAAGATCATGCCGAAGAAATAGGGGAAGGAGGTGATGAAAAACCCTGGTGTCTTAGCAGCACTTCAAGATAAGCTGTGTTCCATTGTTGGTTCTCCGTCTGGTTATATTCAGAGTTTACCCAAGGAGGTCAAACGACGTATCAAGGCTATTAAAAAGCTACAGAATGAGGTTATTAATGTTGAAGCTGAATTTTATAAAGAGGCCAATGCCTTGGAATTGAAATATGCACCAAAGTACTCACAGTTGTTTGAAAAGAGAAAAGAGATCTTAACTGCTAGTAGAGAGACCAATGATGAGGAATGTGATTGGCCCAGTGAGGAAGAAGAAGATGATGAAAAGGATGAGGAAGGAAAAATAACTCCCACTTCTCAACAGGGAGAACTAAAAGATAAGCTTTGTATTGAGGGTGCCAAAGACGCAGGAGGAGATATTGAGGAGAAAAAACAAGAGGATGTTAAAGGTATTCCCAGTTTTTGGTCAACAATATTCAAGAATGTAGATATGTTTTCTGAAATGGTGCAAGTACATGATGAACTAATTTTGACACATTTAAAAGACATCAAAGTTATTATACATGATAAAGACCCTGTAGGTTTCACATTAGAATTTCATTTTGAGCCCAATGAATACTTTACAGACCCAGTACTAATTAAACATTATGAAATGCGCTATGAACCAGACCCTCAAGATCCATTTTCTTATGAGGGTCCAGAAATCATTAAGTGCACTGGGTGCAATATTAACTGGATCAAAGGGAAGAATGTCACTGTGAAACAGATAAAAAAGAAACAAAAACATAAAGGAAGAGTTTTAACAAGAACTGTTACAAAACAAGTTCAAGCAGATTATTTCTTTAATTTCTTTAACCCACGTGCAGTTCCTGAAGGTTCAGAGTCAGAGATGGATGAAGAAGTAGAGGCCTTATTGGGTGCTGATTTTGAGATTGGCCATTTTATAAGAGAGATGATAGTGCCTAGGGCAGTTCTTTTTTTCACTGGAAAGGCCATAGACAATGATGATTATGAGGATGATGAAAATGAGGAGGGTGAAGATGAAGAATATGATGAAGAAGCAGATGCAGATTTCAATCCTGAGGGCCAAGGCAAACCTAATGAATGCAAACAGCAATAGAACTGTGAATGAATGGGCTACTAGTTTTAAAGAAAATTGTGATACTCAACCAAGAAGAAACACAAACTTCACAATTATTTGAATGTAGGCGTTGTTTCATAATATAGTGAGGTTTGTGGCAGTGTGTTGATGTAGGGGTTGTCATTCGGTAGTGATGTTGTTGAATATGAATACTGCGAATACCAAAATGTAGGCATAATCTCTATGTGGGGGGCTGGTTTAGATGGTTTTCCGCTGCTCTACCATTTGTGAGGATTTGATGAACAACAACCACCACCAAATGTGATATTTGAATCCTGGTTTAAAATCAGTGGAACTTTCCTTAGTTCACCCAAATCTGATGGGTAACTAACTTACGTTGGGGAAACAACACATTTCAAAGAAAGAATCAACAATTGCATATATAGTAATTAAATGGAAAAAGCAAAATATCATAAGAACTACACTCGTTGTTGGAGAGTTCTAAGTTTATGTCTTAGCTTTGTTTGAAATATTATTGCAAAATATAAATTGGTTAAGACAAAATACCTCCATAATTACGCACGCATGACATATATTTAAATATGCAGACTTGTATTGATTTTACACAAATAATTCTGCCGTCGAAAATTCAGATAAAACAAAGAAGTTTTGTTGTCGTTAATTATAACGAGCCTAAATCTAAAAATAAAAAAAATAAATCGACAGTTGAAATCATTCCTTTCAATGCAAGTAAACATACAGGGGGCATAATTGTCAATGAACTTATCAAAATAGTAATAATTGAATAAGCTTGATTAAAAACATCAACTTTCACCTGCCAACAATACCATAACATAACAACGGACTGACAACCATATCAACAAACTGCAATCTAAAATCAACCACTCATCACAATGTCCATACTACCCTTATATTGGCACACAGACACAGTCATCACTAGATTATCCTTCTAGTATAAAACATGCCATATATTAACAAACTCACAAAATCTTCACAAAATACGTGCATACAAGAAAGATTCGAACCTACATCACATATGTCTCCTTCATTTCAGCCAGGTGATGCCGTACACATTATAATGTAATAATTACATAGTGTCACCATATAGTTAATTCACATTTATAATCATCTGACTATGGTAAGAATAATTAATGCTCACATTATCTAAAATAATGATTGCATTTCTTATTTCACACACAAACTATGTTTTATGATAGTAGGCCTATTTGAAAACATCAATAAAAACGTTTTAAAACTACGCACTAAACGAATCAATCATTCCGAAATTCGAGTCAACGAATGCATATACTGCAAATGCTAATGAATCCTAATCAAATATATACCAAATTATTGCTTTGCAAGTAGCTTAATGTCTTATGATTTAAAGGATCAGTTTGTTAGTGTAGAGGTAAGGTGGTGATATAGCATCAGTTAAGTAAAGTTAGGGCCAGTTAGTTGCTTTAGTTGGTTGTGTTAAAGTGTGAGGTTATACCCGGTGACTTACCCACAGATTGAGCCAGTGTAAAGAAAAGATGACATTCGAGTTAACTTTCAGGTTTTTCATTATGACATTAGCTTAGCAAGGTTCGTTAGCACACAATTTATGTTTCATTTGTAAACCACAAGGTAAAATGTGTTTTAATTTGTTTAGAATGTATATCGGTTATTTAAAGTCAGTGTATTTAATATGTTTTTAAAAAAAATAATTCTGCCGTCGAAAATTAAGATAAAACAAAGAAGTTTTGCTGTCGTTAATTATAAAGAGCTTGAATCTTAAAATAAAAATAAATAAATCGACAGTTGAAATCATTCCTTTCAATGCAAGTAATTATACAAGGGGCATAATTGTGTTTGAACTTATCAAAATAGTAATAATTAAATAAGCTTGATTATAGACGCGATTTTAAATATTACAAATTTATAAGTGTATTTAAACTGTGTTTTTTCAGAACAATTTTGTATACATTCTCACAAGTTTTGTTTTTCTTATTTAATTTTGAATGAAAAGTAAGAATAAAAACCTTTGAAATCATTGTGTTAATTTTTGTAGAGATGCAAGACTTAACTTAAGTCTATAATGTAAAGGCTTCGTTTATCGTTATGTATAATATTTCTATTCTATCGCTTCTCGGCCTTTTGGCTAAGATGAAAGTGTAGTATCTGTTATGGATGTACATAGGCTCCCGAAAAAAACGGAGAAAAAAACTTTTTAAGTAATACGCCTTTTTCATTTATTTGTGTATGTATAAGTAAGGGTACTTAAGGAAAAATATTTGGATGTACCAGGGACTCTTCTGAAAATATGGTTGCCATGGAAACGGCGGCCATCTTGGAAAAACTACCTTTTGTGGAGTTCTAAAATTTCCTAAAGTAACATATAAACCGCCCATATAATCATTGATCTTTATTGTACTAACACCAATAGAGTCAGCTGGCTAATTTCTGTAACCAAAAAACAGCTAGAAATATTTTTTTCAAATTTTCAAAAAAATATGTGGTGAAATTCCATTGAATTTAGCATTATTTTCATTGGAATTTCGTCACACCAAACTTTGAAAATTAAAAAAAAATATTTCTAGAGTGATTTCTGTTACAAAAACTAGCCAGCTGACTCTATTAGCGTTAGTACAAGAAGGATCAATGGTTATATAGCCGATATTTATGTTAGTTTATGAAATTTTAGAACTCCAGAAAATGATGTTTTTTTCAAGATGGCCGCCGTTGCCATGGCAACCATATTTTCAAAAAAGTCCCTGATGCATGGAAATATTTTCCTTCAAGTACCCTAAGTTGGATATACACAAATGAATCAATAAAAGGTTTTACTTAAGAAGTTGGTTTTTTCTGGAGCCTACCCCCTTAACTTAAGTCTATAAGGTAAAGGCTTCGTTTATCGTTATGTATAATATTTCTATTCTATCGCTTCTCGGCCTTTTGGCTAAGATGAAAGTGTAGTATCTGTTATGGATGTACATAAATCTTAGTCGTTTGTTATGTCAGTCCTATTTAGGGTTAGGCTGCCGGGGTCGAGAGGCGATCTAATCTACTACTCAATCAATTATAGATTTGTGCTGCAACTACACTAATTATACTAGACCATACATAATTTCACAAAGAAAAATCAGCAATATTAATCTAAAAAATACGGGTTTGGCGTGGTCGAGTCAGTAAAACTCATGGTTGTTAAATCGAAAATTCTGGAGTTCGAATAAGACTCGTTAGCTGTAGACAACTCCAAAATCAAACAACTGCTGCCTCGTAGGTTATTCTTGGTTGGACAAAAAGACAAGCATGCTGAAATCGGTCTAAATGGCGCATAACTAATTGATAAGTATAATTAATTGTGTATACTTATTTCGTGTATACCAAACAGTACAAAACGATAATTACCACACCCTTATTATTCTTAGAATACATTTGTTGACCAACCACAAGTATCTGGCTGACCTATTGTCTAGCACACTGTTATTTTTATTAATAGACTTCTTTCTAAAATTCCTATCACCGTTTCCGTCCACTTTAAAGTGTGTATAAAACAAAGCCCTTGTACAGTTTAAGTATAACACTAAAGTATAAAGTCTAAACTCTTATGTTTTAGCTATTTTATGCAAACCTAATCACATGGTAGATCTATATTTACATTTATTTTGACACTAGTCTATTATCCTTCATGTAATGATAAAATATCTCTTCTTCCCTCGCTCTCTCTTACACACACACACACACACATCTAGAAAAGTGTCAGAATGACTCACAGACTGAGCCAGTGTAAAGAAAATATGGCATTCAAGTTAAGGTTCAGGTTTTTTCATTATGAAATTATCTGAGCCAGGTATTTTTACACACTGTATAAACCACACCATTAAATGTTTTTTGTTTGTTGGAATGTGTATCGGTCATTTAAAGACTATTGTATTTAATTGCTTTTAAATGCCATTCTGCCGTCAGAAATTTAGACAAAACAAAAAAGTTTTGCTGTCGATAATTATATTGTATTATTGGTTATATTATATTGTTTGAATGTTTGCGAATCAGATTAATTACAAATTAATTGGTTATTATAGTTATGTGCAGTATTTTATTTAAGAAATTTTTAAAAGCGGATTAAAAATGTATATTTATCAAACCAAACTATACATTTCTACGTTTATTCATTGCGATACCCTGCACCAACATTCATTCGCAGCAATGTATGCTCACAGAACATGTTTCATAACCGAAGGGGTAGTTTAATTCAATTAAAAAATGTAACCATTTACTTGCTGGGCGATGAAGCCACCGCCACACCAATACGTCTAGAACAGGGGTCGGCAAGCTTTTGAGACAGAAGAGCCAAAAGTTACAATTTTTAAAAATTCCAAGTTTAAAAGATCCACTAACATTTTTACTTTAATATAGTATTATTTAACTAAGACTAAGTAAATAAATATGATTTTTATTTAAAATAAATAGCTTTAAGTATGATATAATATTTATTCATATAAAAACAGAAATGTTTCGCCAGAATAATGAAATTAGTTATCAAATAATATAACTATAGGAGTATCCCAAACCACTTTAGAAACTGTTAATTTTTGTTTTCTTTCTTTACGGATATCACCGGCTCAGGGGGTGTCCCCCATTAGCCAGGCAGGCCTCAACACGGCTAACTTCGACTAACTGGCTTGAATATCGGTTTGTTAACAGTGTATCGGTCGCTTCTGTCCTTTGGTTCTCACCAGGCGTATCTTCCAACCTATTTAACGCAGGGTAAACTCGTATCCCACCGTCCAGTACCCGGCTCAACAGTAGGAAGCTAATAGCTTTAAAAAAATACGTCAATCAAGTCAAATGAATGATTACTGACATTCATTCTAAATAAAATAGCATTCCCCATTTAAAAACTTTGAAAAAAGTCGGCAGTGGCAAGCATGGGTTGTTGCAACGGGGTTGTGGGGCTGGGCCTGGTGCCCAAGCTGCTGTCAGCTGTCCGTATACTTTCTACTGCACATATTCTCAATGTTCTCTGATAAGTGTTTTAAATATGTTCAAAGTTGTTTTTCTTTAAATTATGATATTTGATATGAATTTTGAAAATGAAAAAAATATAACTATTAATATTTGTGCAATGAGTTGGAGAGCCACATTTAGACAGTAAAAGAGCCGCTTGCGGCTCGCGAGCCGCAGGTTGCCGATCCCTGAATTAGACAATCAGCAGCAAGAGTAGATAGTTGCTATTAAACTAAAGATATCCATGTGTATAAAAATAAAATGTCATAAAATATATTCAAACTACTTAGAAGATATATATATATATATATTTTTTTAATTTCCTGTTTTTCATTGTATATATAACATTAATTGCAAAAACAATCCGCAATAATAATTACATTAATATTACAGTGTATTTTATATACACTGTTGATAAAGTAAATCAAACATTCACTAGTATGATTATTTTATTTCTTTATTAAGACTGTGGACGTTTTATTACGGCATGTATCATATACAGAAATGTTGTCGTATTGTTGTGTGATTTATCACAATATAAACACTGGACAAAAACTCTATTACAATTATAATATCCACGGGCAACGTTTACTCCTTAAAGATCTGGCAAAATGTGACATAAATAATCACTTGTCAAAATGTGACATAAATAATCACTTGTCAAAATATGACATACATAAACACTTGTCAAAATATGACATAAATGATCACTTGTCAAAAAGTGACATAAATGATCACAGAATCCAGACAGTTTAAGATATAAGCAAAATGTGACATACATTATCACAGGGCAAAATGTGACTTTCGAGATCACATCACCCATACAGTTTACAATATGGGTAGAAAGAGATATAAGGATCTTAGTGCCCAGACAGTTTACAATATGGACAAAATGTGACAACAATTACAGTGACAGCGCCCAATCATTACATTACGCTACATTCTTCTTCATTGTCTCCAAGAAATGTATAACCTATAGTCTTTGTAACCTCATGTCATGGTATCATAAAGCTTTGTTACACAACGCTATGTTTGTACAGGGATATCTAAACTGTTGTTTTGTTGTTCATGTTGATGGTACCTTCAAGTGTGGGTTTTATGTGTCTAAGTGACCATAGTGGCCAGATTTTTACTAATGAGTGTGACGTCATTGGTTTAGAGAAGGTGTGTTTTTAAAACACAAATTTAAGATGATTTAATTTAGTCTTATAAGTCATGTTTGAAAATGAATAATTTAAAACGTATTAATATAAGGAGCTGCTTATGTAAAAGGACAGGGGTTATTACATGTATCGTTTTTTAATAGTGTGAAGTAAGCACTCCGGGAAAATGTATCATGTTGTCTGGGAAGAGCGGGGGGGGGGGTGTTAAATAGGGAAGTAAATTATCTCTGGAATAACGACGACTGAAGAAACTGGCGCTAATTGACTAATCAACAACGTGTTGGTTATGAAGAAATAAAGAAAAAAAGAAAAAAAAACACTATATAAATAAAATGAATATACATTAACCACCATCCATCCCCGGGAACTGTACACAGCCATAATCCACAGCCATGGTACGTATTCATTATACATAACCATAACGCACTTTATAACTACACACATCTATAATACACAGTCGTATGTAATACACAGTCATATTAATTAGCATTATTGCACTGCCATAATAAACATTCATAATAAAGCCATAATACACGGGCATGTTTTACAGCCAGACTACACATGCATAACACACATCCATATTAAGTCAATGATACACATCCATAATTCACAGCCATTATACACAGATATCATAACCAACAAGCTGAGATGTGTGCCTTGTTTGTATATTAATCTAATACACATACCTTTAAATATTACAACATTAGATTAACAATTTATACTTGAAATACAATGAGTGCTTTTGATATAGTTTCATATTGTTTAAAGCAGACACGCTTAGTTAACGGATAACTTGGTTGTTACAAAATATATGAATATAATTTATTTCTGACCCTTTATTAAACTGATGCTTTAAACACAAAAACCAGCACGTAAAATATTGCAATGTTCAACTTAAGTCACTAGAATGGGTCTGATTCCCTTTACCACAATTATGAGAGAGGTAATTCGTTTGTAAGCCTTATCGGGAAAGGGATGATGCAGTTTTGTGTTTTCTAGTAAGTAGAAAAAATCATGCCGACATTGGATTAAGTTTGGCAGCATTGTTTGAACGTAACATTCGGACGTCTTTACATTAGTTTAACAAAAATATCACAGGTTACCCAACTACAGTTTCCTCATTATTAAATTGTATTAGCAGTATATGAATCAAAGTGAGAAATATTCTAATTAAAACAAAAATTGTATTTGCTTATTTAGTCTATTTACTAAAATCACTTGTTTTCTAGCCAATAATTTCGTATTATATTGATTTTAAAAGTGTATTGATTATTGTGTCCCTTGGATTTTTATTTGCTTTAGGGCTAATGCATTTTAATTGTGTGTATTTGATATTCTAAATCTAAGAAAAATACTCTTTATTATTCATCTGTCTTTTGTCTAGTCGTGTTAATTAAGTTAAGTGTGATTGCTTTAATTGTTTTGGCGGTATAATTGGTGGTTTTAAATAATTTCGCAAGTATATGCTTTCTGTACTAATATACAATCTAAATACATTTGCTTTTCTGTTTCTTGTATATTTTGATTACACGTTTGACATGTTATTTTAACATTTCGATTTGACTTTGTATTTTTTGTAAAACCGGTTTTGTATTATAAATCAGCCTTTATGCTAATTCTCTTTCTTTTGGTGTAACGCATCAATTATGTAGGTTTCTAAATGTATCTACAATGTCTATTATATTGTGTTCCATGGCCCAACTTATTCTGGCGTATAAGGGTGTCGCTTGTAGTTTGATTAGGATGTTTATTTTTTTTTATTTTGGTGTCTTTCCCAATAATGCTTTTGTTTCCTTATAAAAGCTGCCTATGTCATTTCCACCATAGTTTGGTGTTGTGATGTTTAATTTTAAAATGCTCTTTATTTTTAGCCCTATGTAGCATTGTGCCAATGGATGATAATATAGCTCTATTCTTATTCCATCCATATGTTTTAATCGGAAGGTGTTT